TATTATTATTATTATTAAATCTTTGTCTTGAATTGTCTCAGGTCAGTTATTGTGAAAATGATGTTGATTGTCGGCGCCTTCTGCAGCTTGCTCATTTTGGGGAAAATTTCAATTCTTCAACTTGTCACAAAACATGTGATAATTGCTTGAAGATCACAAATTTCATTGAGAAGGATGTCACAGAGATCGCAAAGCAATTGGTTTGGAAGCAATTTCTATCAATATATATTCTTTCATCCCTCCATTTATAGAAATTCTTTTAGAATGTAATATTTGAGTCCTATCGTTCTCAGTTTCAATTACTTTTCTGTTGTCTTATGCTTAGGTTGAACTTGTTAAGTTAACGGGACAGAGGTTCTCGTCATCTCATATATTAGAAGTTTATCGTGGTTCCTTAAGCCAAATGGTATGCCAATAAGCATATATTCTATTTTTTCTTTTTCATTCTTTGCAGAATGTTATCGTTCTTAATAGCCGTTCCTTTTCTTAATCATGTACTTCTAATGTCAAAACAAGGTAAAAAAAAATCGGCATGAGACAGTGAGCCTTCACGGTGCTGGTAAGCATCTAGCTAAGGGCGAGGCTTCCCGCATATTGCATCATCTTGTTGTCGAGGATATTCTTGTGGAAGAAGTAAAAAAGAGTGATTTTTATGGATCGGTATCATCAATATTGAAGGTATTAGTGACTCAAATGTTGTATACTGCAATTTTACCCACTGGTTTAATATTTTCTCATTGTGCTTCAGATGAGTAAATTGGCTTCCCAGTGTTATTTACTTAATTAGCTTCTATGACTATAAGTTTTCTAAAGCATTAAAAAAAATTTCAGGTAAATGAGACTAAGCGTAATCTGTTTGCTGGGAAGAGAATTATGTTGAGGTTTGTCGATATCATTAAGCTGTTTCTTGCTTAAATTTGTGGATTAGAACGGCTAATTCTTACATTGATTGAACATCATTCCATGAAAGTGCCTCTTTTCTCTTTGAGGGCTTTTATAAATATATTGATCACTGGCGCTAGGGGTTCGATGCTGTTAGCCTCAGATGTTTTTCACTTGAGATCGATTTCACTTGAATTCTTATCTCAACTTCTCTGGCTTCACAAAACACGCCTGTGAATTTCTCTGTTCATATTCTACTCTGGAATTTTTTATCTTCTGTAGATTTCCATCGTCAGTAAAGGCATCAAAATCGGGGAAATCTGATGCAACTCCAGCCAAGGGTTCTTTGACATCTGGGAAGCCGAATGTTATTCAACTTGACACTCCTCAGCCTCCAACTGAAGTGGATTTGGTATAAAATGGGTTATTTTCAGTTCGCTTGTTGAAATTTCTAACTCTTCTGAATTATATTTGAAGACAAATCTGCTTCAGAATCTTTCAGCTAAGTTGTATACTGCTCTGCGGATGTTGAGGACAACACTTGTTAAAGAAGCTGGAGAGAGTGTTTTTGCTTACCACATATTTGGGTAATTTATTAGAAAAATTCTTTTGTAATACAAGTAACAATATCTCCATTTGGGATTCATTTATTCTTGTGTAGCATTATAAAGAATACAATTGAAAATTAAAATTTGCTTAATAATCCATTTCTACTTTATTACATGACCTGATGTATCTGTGTTATACACACTACTCATGATGAAAGCATCTGATAAGCTGCTGTTTCTATTTAGTAATGCCACGTTACAGCAGATAAGCAAGAGAGTGCCGAGAACAAAGGAAGAACTCCTCGATATCAATGGCATCGGCAAGTAAGTTCATTCTGGGAATAGTCGTGTCCTTGTTAGTGAGCCGGCATTGACTAACGCTTTCGTTTAAAACAGGGCAAAGGTGAGTAAGTATGGGGATAAGATATTGGAAACCGTCGAGAATACCATAAATGAATATTACAAGTTGGACAAAGCCAGTAGCGGCAGCAAAGGCAGTGCAGATTCTACCAAAAGGAGACGAGAGTCAAATGCTGAGGACGATGACGTCCTCACCAATAGTACAGGTCGTTCTAAGAAAAGGACTGTCAAGAGACAAAATAGAAAAGCTGTGATATATGATTCCGCCGATGAAGATTATTTTCATGGATGCCCTGACGAAGATTTAGATTTTGACCTCATAGAAATTGATGCAATAGATCAAGTGACTTGTAAAAATGCTGCTGGAAGAGTACTACCTCAATGGACCGCCTCTTGAAATCATATGACAATCATATAGTTGTCATCCCCTTCGGAATATGTGTATTTTCAAACTAGCATTGATTTATGGTTTCGATCAGACCAATGGAAGATAACTATTATACGCAGATCAACGAGGAAAACTCTGGATTGCTTGAATTTCTACCACCACCATCAAAGTTGTCCAGTCTAACTATTATGCTGCTGAAGAGGTATTGATTTTAATTTAGTGAAATTTATTAATTGCTTTGACCCTTTTACTTGTAAAGAAAGAATAGAGAAATTGTAAAGGTTTTTGTGGAGTACACTATATCAAAATCTAATTCCCTCTACTTTATTTTTACTTCTCTTTAAAATTTACACAATTTTCAATCGAAGGATGAATGTAATTCAATAAAGAATTAGGTTTGTGGAAATGTTTTAGGTCATACAGAAAGCGAAAAACTTTAATTACGGTGGTTAGAAAAGATGAGTGTAACTATTAAAATGACTTGAACTCAATGTGGTTACGCATTGGAGGAATTACATGTTAGAGAATAGCGTTCTGTTACATTATTTTTACTTTGTCTAAAGTATTGCGAAGTAATCACCAATATATTATTTTTGTATTAAATGATCAACATACTTTATAGCAAAGTGTTTGATAATGTTACGAGATTATTGAAATGTTTAATGGTGGTCAAAATTATTAAAAATAAATGAATGTCCATACAATTATCAATTCATTTATATACACACTTTTTCAATGACTTGTGCTCTTCATACTTTAAACATTATTGTAACAGTAAACTGCACTTAACATTAAGTTATGTAAGATTTTACAAAATTTCTGATATTTATATTATTCCTATATTTTCTTCTTTTAATTGTTTTGAAAGCATTATCTTGAAATTTCTAATACAAGTACTAACTACAATATTAGAACACACCAACACCAATGGTTATCTTAGTTAAAGAGTCTTACATATTATTTTTAGCATAAATAATTTGTTTTTTATTTAATTAAATTACTGTCTAATTACATAATAAATAATTTAAATACTTTCTGGGTTTATTTTATATAAATTACTCAATATTTAAAACATAATATATTTCAAATTAAGATTAGTCACATACAATTTTTATACAATTTTTATACTTAGAATAGTAAAAAACAATAAAAATAAATTTACTAAAAAATAGATATTTGAGGAAAGTAAATAACAAAAAATAAATCTAACTTATTGCGAATAATAAAATAGAAATTATTAGAGAAAATAAATTAAGATCATGATCCAAATTGTAAAGAAATCTTTTGAAAAATTTTGTTCTTTCATAATATAAATTTTGCGTACAATATAACAATTTTTTTTTTTTACATTTATTTTTTTCCTATTTATATTTTTCTTACTTGTAACCGCTAAAATAAAAGTACTCCAACAAAATAATAAAAGAAAATTATAACTAAAGTAAGATGCTGAAAAATAAAATAAAAATCCACAAGTGATCTTCTATTATAAGCATCGTTTCTCTCTTTGACCCAAGTTGTATAACTACCCTCTCTCTTCAACCTAAGTTGTCACCACATCTTTGCACGATAAATCTCGATGTCTTCTACTTCTTCGATCTTTCATTTGGATTCATTACATCTATGACATTTTATCTTTCAATATATTCTTCAATTCTTTATTTAATAACTTCTACTCTTTTAAATACTTCTTATTTATTTATCTTTCAATCCAACAAATCATATTAAATTCTCCTTCTTGTTTTCTCACAATTTTCTTTAATTACTATGGGTACCTCAAATTTACCAACATAATCTTTTAATTCATTTCTTTCAATATGTGTAATTTTCCCTCTACACACTGTTTATTCCCTTGGAGGATGAGAAAATAAATGATTAGATGAATTTTATTTTTAATCCTAATAGATAGTGTATTAAAATCGTGGTCAATCTAATCCATCTATTAATAATTCTTTTATATAATGAATATTCAATCTATGAACAAAAATCAATAAATGTTAAAAATAATTATCTCTTTCTCTCCTTTATCGTGGAACTCTACTTATTTTGAATTGCATTAACAATTAATGTTGAGAACTGACTAAATTAGTCGTTAGAATCACATAGTTTCAATAATTAAGTAATCATCACACAACAATCATTATCCTAATAGTTAAAAGAGTCAAATTGCATGAATTACTCATTTAGATTTGGCATTATGGTTTAGTTATTGCAAACCCTTCTAGTACTGGAGTTGACCTCTTATTTATGAACTAAAAGAATTATAAATGAGCTAATAAGAGTACATACTAATTTACTAAACAAGAACAAAAGCTAGTTAGTTAGACGGAGAAGAGACAAAGTGAGAGAGCTTCAACAAAAAGATGAGAAAAAGAGACGCTTACAAGATATTGTATGGAAAAAACAAGGTTTAAATTTAGATTATTAAAAAGTTTTAAAAAAATTGAAACAATTTTTATAAATATATTTTAAAACAATTCTCAACCTTTTTATAAAAAGCACAGAAAAATTTAATCAAAATAATCTTTGGATGAATTGATAAGATAAGGAATAAATTACATAGTAAAACTTGCATAGTTAGTAAAGTGATTTTGATGGTATATAAATTACATAATGAGAAGTTTAAGATCCAATCATATATTAGCAATTTAATGTTAAAAAGATTCAGACAGAGACACCTATATACATTTTTGTTTGTTACATGAAAAGAATTCTACTACAAACAACGTTACTTCTCTACAAACTAAGATACACAGTTTACAACTTTACACACTCCTATGTACAAACGTGTGTAATTATTATTATTATGATGATTATGAATGTACTTACGAAATATATGACATGTTGTGAGCCAATTGATTATACCATGGGCCATGAACACCAACTGAAATAGTGGCTGCCACAATCAAAACACTAGCAGCTTCCACCACCTTGTCAGTAAGAAAAGCAGCCCCAACTTTCAAAAGAGCCATTTCTGCCAATTTCCTCCCACGGGCCCCACTTCCCCCAAGCACAACTCCACGCAAAGCTGAGTAGACAGCATTAAACACCCTCTCAAAAACACCATCCCCAGCTTGTAGGCTCTTTCCTAGCATCCGAGCAGCAACCACCTTCCTTGACTCAACTTTCGCTGCATCTTCACCCTCAATTTTGGGCACATTGCAAATCACTTCTACTATATCTTCAACATCAGCGTCTTCAACACGGTCTAGGAGATCCAAGAGTTCTGTACCACACTCAGCCACTAAGTTTTCCATATCTGCAGGGCTAGCTACTGCCTTTTCACTCACCAGAATCTGACGCCGAATAAGAATGCTGTCGTTCCCAAAATAGAAATAATATTAGTAAAATATATTCACATGATAAATAACGATTAATATAGTATCATCACCAGCATAAATTATTCAGTTAAGACAGTGTGATGACATCTCGGCACAAATATCACGCTATTTACCTTGTAGAAATCACAATAATCTTCTGAACATGAGCCTGGACAGACCTCAGCCTTGAGAAGTTAAGAGATAAAGTTTCTGGTAGATCATCTTGAGACAAACCGGATATTCCACTTACTAATTTTAACAAGCCAAGTCTAACAACTAGATCGACTGGTTCTCCTTTGCATTCTGGCTGCTGATCACCTGATTAAATAACAAGTTGGTATCAAAATAAGTATTTGCTTCGAGAGTAAAAAAAAAAAAAAAGAAATTAAAGGTTTTCAATTTAGAACCTTTATCATTTGCACCATCAGGTGAAAGGGCCACTGGACTGCCAGTTGTTTTGAGTAAAATATTCCCCCCAGTTCTGAGAGTAGTTGAAGGAAGACATTCTTGTGATGAATTAGAAGCTAATGCTGATGAGGAACTCACATATTCTTCCCATTCTCGATCTTTGCAATTCCAAACAGATGAAAGCCATCTCAGTGTGGAAGGAATAGAGGTATTGGCATCAGATGGAGCTCCATGTTTGTTAGCAAAGGCGTTCCTGAGGTAGTCCAGACCGGCAGACCCCTTCACCAAAGACTCCATCAATCTTATTCGTGCTTTGCTTATCTCTTTCTTAAGAATCTGTTATACGAATTAATCATGTTACACAAATTATAAAACCAAAGTAATACACATTTACAAGCTAGAAAATGTCTGTGCTTTATATCTTTAAAATAAAGTGTCCACACAACAAGATCCAAACTTGGCATGTGTAATGGAAAGAAGTATCCTCAAAATAAGGTTTCGAGCTTACAGAAGATCACAATAATCTAGACCAAAGCACAAACAAAGTAACATTGATAGCAATATTGTGCTTAATTTCATGGCTAACAAATCACAACACATCTCAAGTTATTCAATGCATTACAACAAACACTAACAACTACAATTGAAAGCAGTGGTACTCAAGCGATTTCAGCGAATTTATTACATCAGAAGCATCCAAAATTAGTAATTAATAAGGCGTGAACGTATTGATCAAGTAAAATTTAATTTCTTAACAAAGCATTGGTACTGAGTGTTTTCAGAAAAGCGTCCACAATTCATAATTAACAAGCAAGAGGAAAAAAGAAAACAACATATTGACCAATTAAAACCTATAAAATTAAGTAAAGAGCACAAGAGTAAAGGCTAAGCAAACAGACCTGAATCTGTTCAAAGACAAATTGCAAGCCCTTCACCAAGGCTACAACACATGAATTATTTGACCCATCCCTTGATTGACATATTTCACCCAATTCATGAAATAGTTTCTTGTGTGTGGCAATCAGCATCTCCTCATTGGCTGGAGCAGAGAGCTTCTGCAAACTGACGAGTGAAAACTCAAGAATTTTTCCAAGATAGTCAACATCCAGGTTACCTGATTTCAGCACCTTCATATATGCAAAAGAATGATGTCAGAAAAGGAGAAAATATTATCAGGCATATGTCAATGAAGCATCTAATATCCTCACAGGGTGCAAGAAGAGAGAATATAGAAGCTACCTGAGAAAGAATTTCTAAATCGATGGCAGAAAAAATATCATCCTTCCAACTTTTGGGAGCCATTTCACAAATTTCATCCCTAACCTCTCCCATGAGCTGAACAATCCGGTCATAGTTGGGCTGATCCCCCTGAACAGATTCCATGATACCATCCCAAAAGGCCTTCTCCATTGTCTGTTTTATTTTCCCCTGCAAGACAAAAAAAAGATGGAGAATCAGAATTCAAAATAATGTCATCAGATATCAGTAACTTGAAATTATATACTGCTCTTTGTATAGGCAACAACTCCCAACATATTCTAGATTACACAAACATTTTGTAGTTGGTGGGATGATAAGAGCAGATCAGATACTCAAACTATAGGTTCATCCAAAATCAGCCATTATTTCAATTGTAAGTTGGTAACATTTCTACAAATATGTACTAACCTCAATGCTGTTTTGAATGTGATCAGAGACATCAAAAACATCAGTAACACTATAGTGATGCTCATGCAGAAATTCATTTACGAGAACCTCATTCTCTGCTAGTAGCTTTTCAGAAGAAGTGCCAAGCTGACTATTGGAACTGGTTCTGAGTGCAGAGAAGCTCGACCCTCCAGGAGAAGTATTTGTCTCCTTAAAGAGGGAGCGAACTACTCTCCTTGTCCTATGATCGCTACCCTCATCTGAAATATTTCTTTCACTAGAGCTGGCAGCAGTACAGTGCGGAGTTGGGCTCACAGGCACAGAAGGAATCATTGGAGACCTCACTGGACTTCCATCATCCTTCAGTCCAAAGTATCTAGATCTTGTTTCAGAAAGTGCAGACTCCATACGCTCAATACCAGCATCTCCACTCAGGTGCTGCACCTTTTCTCTCAAAAGTTTTTGATCTTCAGAGACCTGCATTAATTGTGAAAAGAAGATAAGGCCAAGCATTGCTGCAAGATAAGAAAGCAGTCAAGGAAGAAACGCATGTAAGTTTGAATATACTTATAGGATTAAGTCAATGAACATCAGGAAACATTGTTTGAAAAGGGTTAGCAAGTGAAAAGTTTTTACTCAATCAAATAAGAAACAGTTGTATGTATCTAACAATCTTCAATATACTACACAATCAGTTCTTAAAATCATTAATGTTCAGATAATAAATGCTCATCAACAACAGATATATTTCACAAAGAAACCCAGTTATTGATGTGGAAAATTACCTGACGCTGAATAGCTTTCATATCATGACTAAGCTTATCGCCAGCTCCTTCCGGAGTCATCTTACAAGTTTGAATCATAGAAGCTTCAAGCTGGCAAGCTGCTCTAACCAAATCCTCCTCCAGTGATCGAGCATCCTTAACCTTCCATATAACAAAACAATTCAAGTATGAGCACCAAGCTTTATCAAAAGCAGCGAGCTGAGATCTGAAGGTACAGCGCTTCAAGGCTGCTGAGACAGACTCTTCATCAGAACTCTGTACTGGCCCATCTAATACAATCTTTATTAACAGCTCAAACATATGGACAAAGTCTTGTGCAGCTTTGGCTAGAGCAATCTCACGTTCTCCCATTCCACTGAAAACTGCATCTGGATGACCCAATATCATATAAGCACAAAGAACAACTCTCACAGCATACCTTGATGACCTAGTTATGCTATTGCTTGACTCCCTGACTGAATCTACTTTCTTTGCCTCCCTGCTTCTCACAGATCTCCTGGGAGTAGCCCTTTTCTTGGGCGAAGCAACCCGTTTAAGAAGGTGATCAATGTTTTCCAAGCTAGACAAAGTATTGGCAGGAGCAACGGCTGTAGACACTTTCAGGCGGCTCTCAAACCGGTCAAGTAAAGTTTTCACAGTCTGAAGGGTAGAAGCTGATTCAATCAGAAGAGCAAGCTGTTCAAATGGCATTGACTTAACAGATTTCTCATTGATCCCCAGCACATCATATGCTTTTGTCAATGAGAACGTTGTTCTCTTCTGCCTTAGGAATCGCCGCCAGCACCTTAAAGAAGAAAACAAAGTTAGGAGACCTTTTTCTTATAGTAATATATAGCAAAAAACAATTCAATTACATCCACTGTATTTCTGTTTTTAAGGCATCGACCTGATGAAGGAAGAAAACTTCAAAATATTAAATTCATCCTATATTAAATTTATAGTTTAGTTCAGATCTTCTCCTCCAGTTCAAAATGAAAACCCAGTTAAGACAGTGACATTAGCAACGCTTTCTACATGACCTAACAGAGATATATCAATATTTAAATGCAAATAAACCTTGCTAGTTTTCTGGAAAGATATTCTGCTTGCTTTGACATTCTATTCTGATTCTCTCGGGCATAGCCTCGCAATCTTCCCCTCTGCCTGAGATATTCAGCTCTTTGTCTTCTTGCCTAACCAATATAAATTCAGAGACTAGTTAATAACAAGTGCATTGAGGGCCAACAAATACCACCCACTCAAACAAGAAAAAGAAAAGGAGATTCAGGTGAGCACACCATACCCTTAACAATCGATCTTCCAACTCATCCTTCTTTTTCCTCCTCTCAATCTCACGTTGGTGGGATACAGACTTTGCCACATGTATCACCTGCGAGACTCGAGCCTGTGCCCTCTTCTTCTCAGCTTCTAGCAATCCAAGTCTTTTCATTTCAGCAGCAGCTCGTTTTTGGTGAATTGCAGCTCGTACACACTCTTTATATTTGCTTTCACGAGCCATCCTCCTCATCAATGTTTGAGATGACCTTTCTCTGAGAGAAGCCCTTCTTTGCCTAAGAGTTTTGAGGATAAGCATCCTATTAGCCTCTGCCTGCTGAACACGAGTCTCAACTTTTGTTTCAAGTCTCACACGTTCATTTTCATAGCGCATTTCAACTCCATTTTTTGCTGCTTGACGCAATTCATCCAGTCTTGCCAAACGCATCTGGGCCTTAGTCAAGATGCTCAACCTGTTGAAAAGGCAGTAAATAGTGTACAAATGATAAAGCAACTTAAATAATTTGAAAAGAATCATTGAGGGCACTAGCTAAAATCGTGTTAAATAGTTAATGGTGGAAGCAAACTTTCAGAACTAAGAAATAATCCTATAATTATCGATGGAACAACTAAAACATAAGAATTAGATGTTAGATGAGATTATATTAAATGTTTAACTTTTTCTGAACATACGAAAATTTTCTAATTAGTTTCACAATTACCAATCAAGATGAAACAGAAAAAAATATCAGAAAGAAAGATCATAATGTTTAACTACATGGTAATCAAATTTATAATTTACATTAAGTTCCCCAGTAGAACGATGTAACACAAAATATACAGGCTTGATAAATGTATGGTATTCAAATAAATGTAGCTTGTTAAAAACAAAAAAGGTGACTACAAAGACTGACAATCCAATTCCAACAAGGACACAAGACCAATATTACCATTTTATGATTGGAATTGGACCCATTTGTCTAAGCCTTCTCATAAAAACAAGTCTATATATCAGAAAATAAATATCTAAATTGTTTTTATGATAATTGGATGAGATTTTATGAGATAAAAGAAGACAAAAAATCCGTTAAAGTGCTTTTTCTATAAACTTTCAGAAAAAATTACATATAAATGCTACCTCTCATAGTTTAAACTTAAAATTTACAAATGCGAATTACTCCAAATGTTGCTTTTTAATAGCTGATGAATGATCAAGAAAGGTATTTTTGTTAAGCCAAGCGGTTTTACTGAATGAAACAATAAAAACACCCTGGCTGATGGCAACAACAACAAGCAGCACTCATTTTACATGAGCATATAAAAAATACATGTTTACAAGACAACCTTAGGAAAAACCCACCTCTTCTGTTCAGCAGCCTGCAGTTTTGCTTCTAGTCTCTGACCAAGATCATCTTCCTGTGATGAACATCTTGAGGGGCTTCTTGGCTTTGCACGTGCCTTACTTGAGAGTTTCTCATAGTATTTCTACAACCGAGAGAAGTTCGATAAATAGAAAGAAACACAAACCCAGCACAAACGATCTTAAAACTATAAATATTGGAACTCTGATCAAAGGCAAGAAAAATAGAATAAAATAAGAACAGTTAGACTATTCATAAGGGAAGAAAAAAGAAACAGAGAATAGGACGTAACGGAGAAAAAACGGTAACTATATTCATAGCTTCCCCGAGAGTGAATGAAAACTCATAATATGTTACACATAATAAAGCATAATTAGGATTCCTATCAACACTAGTAACAAAAGTTTAAAAAGCTTACAACCCATGCATAGTACTAACCAAAACGAAAGTTATCAGAAAAAGAGACCCGTGTGAAATTTGAAACCACCACCAAAGGAATGCGAATCAAAATTCGAATAGAAAAGAAGAAGGTTCTGGTATCCTACCTAACACAGAAAAAACCTTGGGGATAAAGCAGGAAAACGAAGAAATAAATCCACGACAACAATTAATTAACCAACAGAAAAGTAACAAACGAACCACATAACTCTTTCCACAAGCCGATGAATCGAGTAAAATAAATAATTTTTATATAATCCCAAAATAAAAGCCTCAAACAAGATTAATCTCTACGCACTCACTCTTCTTCCAGCTCATCATCAGGTTTATTACAAACTAATTTAATTAATTAATAATTATTATAATTATAATAATAATTAGTAACTAATTACACGTGGTTAATAATAATCAAGCGACAAAAAAATAAACCACCAAACGGAAAAGTGAAAACCATTTCTAAATTCAATTTCAAGACCCTAAACTTAATCACCAGCCAAACGAACACACTGTTTCAGAACGGAAAATGAAATCGTAAGGACACCTGTCTGCGAAGATCAGCATCGCGGAGCTTCGCTTCGATTTCCTCCACCGTGCTCGGAGACTTGCACTCCGCGCCACGAAGCCGTCGCCGGAGCCTCTTCGGCAATCTCGTCGGCGACGAGAACGATTCCTCGTCGCCGACCGGAAATTCCATCGCAATTCCAGAGCCGCTTCTGCCCTCCGACAACTCCACTCCGGCAGCCATCCTTCGACCACACTGCAACTCAGCAGCCGCAGCAAGAAATCTCTCCCTACCAGCGCGACGGCGAGGAAATCTCCAACGACGTCGTACCGTACGTACCACGCAGCACACAATCGCAACCACGGAAACAACACCAACAACAACAACAATAATAATAATTACAATCAATAACAATTCTAATCGATGATCGGTGATCGGTGGTATACACAAACAACGAAGGGAAACGTAAAAGTGAAATTCGAATTTATTCAAACGAGAACCGTCGCAACGAGTGGACTCAGTTACGAGAGCTTCGTTTTAATTGAGTTTTTTAAAGAGATAAAGTGAGAGAGAGAGAGAGAGAGAGAGAGAGAGAGTTCCTCAGAAATGGCATCGCGAAGCGCGTGTTTGGGTTTATAATGGAATGGGTTTATTTGGCGTGTTCTCGTTTAACACTTTAATCAAAGAGGATTAAGCAGGGTATTAGCCACGTCACCATGCCCCTCGCAACGGCACTCTCTTTTCCTTTTACATTAATACCCCCGGCCCTACCTTTTTTGACAACATTACCCCTCAGGCCCCACCCCTATCTACTCCCCCGTCGATTTCACATCTTTTTTTCCCATTTTCCCTTTTAACTTGGAATCACACTTTCTTTTACTCGAAGTTCTGTTTCTATTCTTTTCCTCTGTTACTGAAAATCCTTAGGCAGGTATATTTCCTTTTCCAAACCCTAAATTCCAACGTTTCATCAACAATAGTTAATACTCAACCTTTTATGTTTACTGTTATGCTTAATGCTCAAAATGTGTCTCTCATTTTAACTGGACAATACGAAATAAATGTCTTATCTTACTAATAAACGTGAAAATTCTAAAATCAAAGAAAAATTAATTCTAAGATCGAAGAAAAATCATCATGTTTATCTAATAATAATAAAAATTAATTCTAAAATAAAAAAATCGTCATCTTTATCTAATACTAATAATAATAATAGAATAATATTATGTAAAAAAAATTATAACAGATACATACTCTCTTAAATCCTTTATTCAAATACACCGATATTTTCCAGCACAAAAATTTAAAACCAAATCTTAAAGTATTACAAAAATCAAATACAATATTAAAATATTTTTAATCAAAATATCATAATATTATGAAATTTAAATTTATTATACAATATTATCACTCATTTCATTATTTATTTATATGATGCAGAACTATTTAAGATATATTATTTTTCATTTTTCTAATATTTTTGTAGGCTTTATGGACTTGAACCTAATATCCTGAGATTATCTATTAGACTTTGTATATTAATCCCATAATCCAATTATATTCCAATGATACTTCACAATTCTTCAATCTCCATGCGAAAAAAAAAACTTATAACCAATCCTAAAATTTAGATATCAATCCTAAAATTGAACATGTTCCAAGCAGTAAATGTACAACTAAAGGTTTGGTTTGGCTTTCTGGATATTAGATGTGGGAATGTGAAGTGTGTGAAAAACAATGAAATAATTGGGTGTACTAGAAGGGAAAGTTAGACACGGTTTTAGTATAAAGTTGACACAAAAGTTTTCAATTCAAGGAAATGAAATGATTGAATTGAAGTTGAATTTCATTCGCTACGTTTGCGCTAAGCTAACTATATCAATTGAGAAATTGACCAAATCAATATCCATTCTCAAAAGTAAAGGTCTCATCAGCACGAACCCATGTGACCATCTCGCGTAATAATTGAAACAAAGCTACAAAGATAAGGATCCTCAGGACTAATCATGCTCCACGCCTCTCCAATAGCCATTATATATTAATCATCAACTTTTTAAAAAGAAAGATATATCATTCGTGAGAAAGCTGTAGTAGGGTTTTTGATTTTGTTGACGCTCTTTTGTATTTGTAAAAGTGCTTATTAATATTGTATAAGCTGTTTTATTTGTGATGGTGAGTGATATTGAAAAGCTTGAAGCCTTTTAAACAAGACCGTGGTTGTCAAATAAAATATATGAAAATTTTAGATGACCACGTTTTTGCTATTTATTCATCTCAATTATACGCCTTTAAGGTGGCTATATTTTATATACATCATAATTGAAAGCGTACGAAGATATTTTGTTAAATGGTTAATTAGTTTTGAAGTAGCGTATTTTTTGCTTAGGTTCCAAGATATTCCATTTTCAAAGTCCTATACAAAATTAGAATATACATATCCATCGGATTTAAAAAATAAAAGAAAATAATAGTAATAATAATAATATTATTATTATTATTATTATTATAGAATAATTAATAAAATAATATTTTTTTATAATATAATAAATTTATTAATAATATTTTATATAAATAAAATAATAAAAAATATTATTGTAATCTTTATCAATTATAATAAAAATTATAAATATTAAAAAATGGAAAATAATAAAAAATAAAAAAGTATTATTTAAATTTAATATAACTCATATAAAATAAAAAAATAAAATATATTATTTTTTATAAAAATTCTATTAAAATTTTGATTTTTAATTTTTTATTAAAATCAATTTCAGAAAAAAATTCTAATCAATTTTATATTAATTTAATTAAAATTAAATTTTCAACGCAATGCCAAATGAGCAAAATTCGAATGCAGTGTCCTTCTACAAAAATAAATAAAAAAATAAAAATTTGAGGCATGCGCATTTATTTGAACCTGTGAATGTTGTAAGATAATTACTCGTGTTTGTTTTGAAGAGGATTGCTAAAAATTCCAAAAATTATATAAAAATTAAACATTTTCTTTATTTTTTCTCAACGAGTCAATGTCCTTTTTGTTTTCTAGCTTTTGAGATTCTGCATTTTTATTTGGTTTCGACTACGTTCATTATTTAGGTTTGTTCTTCGGAAGAAAAAAATACGAAAGTGAAGGAAATAAAAGTGTGTATAAGATTTTAATTATTAAAAAATGGATCTACCAACAAATATATAGATAAGTGGTCTTTTACACTTTTTTCTTTATGAAACTAGACAAAATTAAATAATAATCACGCAAAACAATTACATTATTTATTATGTTGTCATATAATGATGTTTTTATTTCACAACATAACTTACTCTTATAAACATACTTATAATTGATTATATAAAATATTACCAATAAAAATATAGTTAAATTTTCATATTTATTATTCTAATATAAATATTCATTTAAATTAATCTCTTAAACACGAATTACGACAATAATGTATAATTTCATATATTTTTATATCATATTTAAGATATAATTATTAACATTAAATATATATAATTTATTATCTTAAATAATACAGATAAGAAAATTAAAATTATTCATATTACTAAAAATAAGATTAAACATTTATTTATTATTTTTCTATATTATTTTTCCGACATCAATGTATGGTGCTAAAGAAGCGATGGTGCTAAAGAAGCGAGACATTAAATGTAAGAACTGTAATGCTAAGACATTAAATGTAAGAACTGAAACATTACAGTATACTGCGATTATTATACGAAATATCTCATGAGAATAAAAAGAATTCTTCAATGTCCTTGCAATTAGAAGCAACCACTCACATAAAAAAAAAAAAACAGAGTGTGATCTTGGAAGTTTTTTCATGGTGGAATTTGTCACTGATAAAATACCAATTAAGAAGAATAGGAAAAAAAAAAGATAAGAATTACTTTCATTTCAAACAAAAGAGAATAAACCCATTCATAGTTTAACATTTTTCTTTTTAAAGGAAAAATGATCGCTAGGTTATACTTATTCTTGAAAGTTATATATATATATATATATATATATATATATATATATATATATATATATATATATATATATATTGGAGTTCACGATAATTATGATTTTATTTAAAAAAAAATAAAGAAAAATATATATAAATTATTATTAACTTGAAACTATCAAATAATTTTTTTTTTATTATTATTTTAGAAACATGTATACCGTCTCACCTAAGGTATAATCTCTAAACACATAAACACATCCTTCTCCCAAGCCCTACATAGTTAGGTTTGTGATTTTCTTTCTGGCTGCATTTGACTTTTCCTTTGAAAATGCAGAACTGCATGGTCCACAGAAACAGTAAAGGGTAAATATGGGAATCCAGTTTATAAGGGTATTACAGTGATTTCACACTCGTTGCTTCAATGAGTCCCTCCAATGCGTGACGCTTCACTCTCACTCTGCCACGTCATCCATTTATCTCACTCTCGCGAGTACAAGAATCAACTCCTACTTCCTTTATTTCACGTTTACGTGTCGCCCTATCCAATATACGTCACGCTTCGTGAACGCGCTACGACATTTTATAAGGTTACGGTGGTGCGGCATGTACTGGAACATTGCTCTTGCGAATAAAGGTAAAGCGTGCGGAGGGCCACGAAATACACGTGTGGAAGATGCTGGAAAACGGGCTTGATTTCAACCATAAAAACCGCTGAAAGTGGGCCCACATATTTAGTGGCCCTCGTGTTCGCATACGTGAAGACCACGGACAAATACGAATGTAGGTAGACTCGTACATGTCCACATACTATACAACATGTTCCAAATAAAATAGTTTAAGATTAAAACATAGTGGATCTCAAATTTGATATTTGAATATAATTACAATCACGAAGAACAATGACAAACACTAATAAGGATGTTGTGTTGCAGTGGAATCACATTATTCTATTAAAGAGAGAAAACCTAAAAAAACAAAGAAAAAAAAGTTGTTTTGTAATTCATTTAATGAGGAGAACTCGTCATCAATGTTTTGTTTTGAAAACTAATCGATTAAACTTATTAAACTAAAAATCGGATTAAAAATTAGTAAATTATTTTTGAATAATTAGATTTTAATTAAATTAAGAAAATTGATAAAATAAAAAAAATTGGTTGAGATTTTTTATCTAACCGATTTTAATAAAAAGATATTTAAAATAAATTTTTTAATATAATTTTTATAAAATATATAATATATTTTTTTTTTATCTTAATTTAATTATTATTTATTTTT